GGGCAATTGTAATTGTCCCCAACGGCGACATTGGGGTGGTCCAAGACGGCCTGAGAGGGCAAGCACTGCACAAGAGGGCCCCAATGGGGCCCCAAGAGGCTCCGCAAACGGTCCCACCAGACAGCTGCGAATTCTTTCCTTCAATTTGATTCCTGGGGAGGAGCGGGCGCGGAGGGGAGACGAGGCCAGGGCTGGGGGGCAGGGCAGGAGACGCGGAGTCGCTGGGCTCGCGGGCAGCCGAGGCCACGATGCGACGTCGCATGGCTGGTCCGCCGCTCGCCCTGGGGGACCCGTGTCGCCGCAGCTGGACTCGCGTCGGAATTCCGGCCGGAGCGCGCTCCAGGAGCGGTCCAGGGACTGGCTGCATCGCAATGCAGTTCCCTGCCCGCTCCGATGCCCGGAGCTCAGGGAGGGGGGTCCAGGCGTAGGCCCGGGGGGGGGGGGGGCTCGGGGCCCAGCGGCCCTCTTATGATACCAATTAAGGGTCCCATCTGCTCCGACCCCGTCCTATAGGAGGCTTCGATCTTCTTCTCCTCGACATGTCCTATAGGGCGTTCGGAGTGGCGCTCTTTATAGCCCAGGGCGCTGGCCGCTCTCCGCACTCCCGGCCCTCTCTGGCAATCACGCAACACGAGCACCACACATCCACCCCTCCTCCCTCCTCCCTCCTCCCTCCTCCGCCTGCCCACTGGTGTTGTGGAAGCCGGGCGTCCCTGGATCCAGAGATTCCTCCGTTCTGGACTCCAGAGGGGTGTTCGGGCGCCCCCTCTAGTGCGATGCGCCGCTCTTCAAAGCGCGCTCGAGGAGCGAGAGCAAGCTCGGTGCGTTTTCTGCCTCTTGGAAGTCTGACTCGTGCCGTGCCTCTTACTTTTGTTTTTCAGCCACCTCTCCTGCGCATTGCTCTTGGCAGTCCGCGCTCCAGGGCCATGATGCTATCTATGTTTGTTCCCAACCGTCCTGTGGTGTTCGGCCCTCGTTTTGGAGAGACAACGCCCCGCTTTCTCCTTTTTCCTCCTTCCTTCCTCCTTCCTTCCTCCTCCCCCTCGTCCCTCCTCCCTGCGTTTCCTCCAACCAGTAGAGCGTTTCGTTGCCCCATAGGGAGCTCCACCAATGGTCCCTGTAGCGGGACTCGCGTGCGGTTCCTGCGCCAAGCGCGGTGCTTCGTGGCCCCATAGGGAGCTCCACCAACGATCCCAGTGGCGGAACTCGCGTGCAGTTCTTGCGCCCGGCGCGGTGTTCCGTGGCTCCATAGGGAGCTCCACCGACGGTCCCAGTGGCAGAACTCGCATGCGGTTCCTGCGCCCAGTCCACCGCTTCGTGGCCCCATAGAAGGCTCCACAGACGGTCCCAATGGCAGAACTCGCATGCTGTTCCTGCGTCCAGTGCAGCGTTTCGTGGTCCCATCGGGAGCTCCACCGAAGGTCCCAGTGGCGGAACTCGCATGCGGTTCCTACGTCCAGTTCAGAGTTTCGTTGCCCCATAATTAGGGAGCTCCACCGAAGGTCCCAGTGGCAGAACTCGCATGCGGTTCCTGCGCCCAGCGCGGTGTTTCGTAGCCCCATAGGGAGCTCCACCGCAGGTCCCAGTTGCAGAATTCGCATGCGGTTCCTGCGCCCAGTGCAGCGATTCGTGGCACCATAGGGAGCTCCACAGAAGGTCCCAGTGGCGGATCTCGCATGCGGTTCCTGCGCCCAGTGTGGTGTTTCGTGGCCCCATCGGGAGCTCCACCGAAGGTCCCAGTGGCAGAACGCGCATGAGGTCCCTGCGCCCAGTGCAGCGCTTCGTGGCCCCATCGGGAGTTCCACCGAATGTACCAGAGGCAGAACTCGCATGCGGCTCCTACGCCCAGTACAACGCTTCGTGGCCCCATAGGGAGCTCCACCGAAGGTTCCAGTGGCGAGAATCGCATGCTGTTCCTGCGCCCCGTGCATTGTTTCGTGGCCCCATAGGGAGCACACCTTTCACGCGCTTCGTGGCCCCATGGCTTGGGCGCGAACGGTGCGCAGCCAGACCTTCGGTTTTGTAGACTCTCGCCCTGGGCCGTCGGCTGTCCGACGTCGCCCAGGCGTGATCCTGAACTGCGGCCGCCACGAGGTCGGGAACGGCAAGACGGAGGACGACGACTGGTGGCTGGAGCTCTACGCGCTGCTCTCACGCGCCACGCGCCACGAGGAACTTCTGCTCATGCTGGCGCCGCAGATCGAGTTCTTCCTGGCATGGCCGCCGGAGGGTTTGCGGAAGCAGCTGGAGCAGTTTACGGCGCGCGCGAAGCGGTGCTGGAGGGAGGCGACGGCCCTCGCCAGGGAGCTGGGTTCCACCGGTTTATCCGCGAGGCCTGACCAGGGGGGCGGCCCGCCCGAGACTCGACTTCTCCTGGCGGTCTGATCGTTTGGCCCCGCGCCGAGGACGACCCGCGCGCGTCGCTGGGGCCCTCTCGGAGCGACCAGCGCGCGTCCTTGGAACACCGCGCTGCGCTCCGCCCAGCGCCTTGCTCGCCTGTCGTCGCTCTGCCCAGCGGCCAGGGCCTTGCCCGCAACCGGCCGGCGAGCTAGCTCTCCTTGCTCCGCGCGGCGGACGACCCGCGCGCGTCGCTGGGGCCCTGCCTGGGCGACCGGCGCGCGTCGCGGGGGCTCCGCGCTGCGCCCGCGGCCTTGGGTTTTGGAGTGTGCGGGCGCAGAGGGAGGAAAAGAAGGGAAAGACAATCTTGGCCGGTCTAGCCTTTCTCGCCGCCCCCCAACAATCAGATCGCAGACAGAGAGAGCCACGCCGAAGGCATTCTAGGAATCTCCGCCGAAGGCCCCAGTGGCCGTGCCCGCGCGCCGCCGCCGTTCCACTTTGGCGCAACCCCCGCGCGGTTTGCGCCCCTGCAAAGAGCTCCGCCGAGGACGACGTTCACAAATGCGATGATCGCGGCTGCGTATGGTTGGGTCCTTCGCCGGGCTTATTCCTTCCTGCGCGGATTCGGAGCTCTTTCGGTCGATCGGCATGCCTGTCCCGCCCCTTCCCCCCTGAGCGACCCCCCCTCCTCCCTCCCTACTCCGCTTACCCCCCGCGGGGGATGTGGGGGGGGCCTCTGTGGGGCGTCGGCCAGGCCGGCGCGCCAAACGCCGTGCCGCCCTTGTCAGGGGGGCGGCCCGTCCAGCTTCGGTGGGATGTTTTGTTCCATCGTATTCCTCCTCTATCCCCCTTCCTCTTCGCGCGCGCAACCTGAAGGCTGCTTGCCGAAAACGCAGAAGGAACAGGGTAACAAAAAGGGGCCACTGAGCAGCGACGTCGAAGATGGTGGAATGGAGGACTATCCCCCTGAGCGACTCATCACTGAAATCTGTCAATATCTCGCCCTTTCCTCTTCGTCGCACTCCCCCGAAGCTCCGCTGCATCCTTCCGTCCTCCTGTTATGCTAAGCAAGACGACGTCTGGCCCGTTCCCAGAGATGGTGTTAATTTGGAAGCAGTCCAATCGGACGAAATCCTCCCGTCTCTCCCTCTCTCTCCTTTCTTCTCTTCGTCGCAGTCTTCCGTCCTTCCGCTTATCCTCCTCCTCCCTCCTTGCGTCGCCTCTCCGCCCAGGCGTTGCCCGACCGCCCTCCGCCCCATGTGGCCCACCTCTCCTTCTGCTGCACAGTGCAGCCGAGGTTCCGAAACAACGTGCAGGTAGGCTTCGGAAGGGGCCCGCTGTTCCTTGGGTCCTCCCGTGGGTGTTCCTCCAGTGTTTCTCGTGCACCCATGCGCTCTCGACGTTCTTGATGGTAGTTGCTTGGCTGTGGACGATAGGTCCAGCACATCAAACACCGCCTGGTGAATGTCCAGTTCGGTACCCAGGTCTGCGACCAGAAAGGAGCCCTGACGCAATGGCGAGCGATGGATGGGGAGGGGTAGGACGTCAGACGTGTCGCGAGCGCGCCTAGCTTTCCCCTCCCCGTCCCCCCTCCCCAATTCCGCTCTCCCCTCTTCCGTCTCTCTCCCCACAGCCGGTCAACGTGTCCCAAACTGCTACCCTTCGTGCGCGCGTCTCGCTGGCCCTGCGCCTCGCTGACCCCGCGAGGCCCTGGGCCCGTCGGTCGCTGGTTGGGGGACGCCCGCGCCTCGCTGTCCGGTCCTTGGTCTTATGCCCGCCCCGCTCCGATTCGGCTCCTTGGGAGGCCCCGTGGGCCCACAGGAGGCCCCAGCAGAACCCGCAGGAGGGATCTTGATGGGCCTGTTTCCCACCACCGCCATAAGTTTGAGGGGGGGAGGAGGAGGAGGACGAGGAGGAGGAGGACGAAGAGGAGGAGGAGGAGGAGGAGGAGGAGGAGGAGGAGGAGGAGGAGGAGGAGGAGGACTCCCTCCCCCTCAAACTTATGGTGTTGGTGGTGGTGGTGGAATGCAGTGCCCGGAGGCTTGCTTTCAGAGGAGGTTTGTGCCGTCCGCCTCGGCACGCCCCGTCAGATCAGGACGCTGCGACGAACGCCAGGCTTCGTGCGAGGTTGCAGGGTGCGCCCCAGCCTCAAGTCGGATTTGTTTCGGAAGCACGGGGAGGAGGAGGAGAAGGAGGAGGAGGAGGAGGAGGACCCCCTGCCCCTCCAACTTATGGTTGTGGTGGTGGTGGAAAACAGGCCCATCAGGTCTGCAGTGCCCAGAGGCCTGCTTTCAGAGGAGGTTTGTGCCGTCCGCCTCGGCACGCCCCGTCAGATCAGGACTCTGCGACGAGCGCCAGGCTTCGTGCGAGGTTGCAGGGTGCGCCCCAGCCTCAAGTCGGATTTGTTTCGGAAGCACGGGGATGATGATGATGATGATGATGATGATGATGATGATGATGATGATGATGATGATGATGATGATGATGATGATGATGATGATGATGATGATGATGAGGAGGAGGAGGAGGAGGAGGAGGAGGAGGAGGAGGAGGAGGAGTAGGAGCAGGAGGAGGATAAGTGAGAATATGGAGCCAAATAGTGAAGAGGGGGACGAGGGCGAGCAGGATGTGGAGGGCCCGTGGAGCGATCACTGCCTGTGCAGGAGGCTACCCAGCCCGAGGTCGGCTCGTTAGTCTTTCCCGAAACGCAGGCGCCGGGCTTTCTGCAGCAGCGCCCGGCTCCAGGAGAAGTAGGAGGAGGATGAGGCGGAGAAGCAGGATGACGAGGGTATCCGTAGCCGTGTTGATTCCAGCAGTCTTATTCCAGAGTGCACAAAGAGGTGCGCCGACTTCTCCTGCTCGGTCTGGATTGGCCGACGGCATGGCCTCTTGGCAATCGCATGAGGTGGGTCTAGTGTGTCTTTAGCGCGGTCGATAGAGAGATACAGCAACTTTAAGGGGTGCTGGCACTGCCGTCAGCCGCCGTTTCTGGCCTGGGTTTCATGGGTTCGGGACAAGTGGGGCCAGGGCTTCATGGATGCACAGAGGGGCACGTGCATCGGGCATAGAAGGTGGCGAAGGGTGAAGAGGTCCTTAGCGTTTCAAGGCAGGTTGCGCAGTGTCAGTTCGTGTTGACATTTGTCGATGTTGTCGGTTCTCCTTCGACAGAACCAATAGCATCTTCCCTCCATGGCTCAGGACATCCTGGCCTGGGCAAGTGTGTTTGCCAGTCTTGGAACATCAGGCCTCTTCGCCCTCTGCCCCGCCTTGCCAGGCGTTGGCAGGAAGGGTCTGCTCGCAGCACATCGAAGGCTTGCATGCATACCGCGGGGCCCGTGAGCCAGCCGTGAGCAAAGGAGGCTCAGAGGACATTTGCAAGGGTCTCCACGTCCAAGTCTCTGCGGCCTTTCCTGCCATGCGCGAGCAGCTGGCTTGGATCCAGCTCTAGTGTCCTCCCCCTCCTCCTCGTCCTCCTCCTCCCCCAGACTCCGTAGCCATTTTGGCTCAAGCCATTTTGGCTCAAGGTACCCATGTCGCCCAGCGGCCGCACGGATACCGCTGGTCCGCGGCTAGACCACTGTGTTTCTCTGCGCCTTCACGGGGGGAGTCGGGCGCCCTCACTCCTTTTCGTGTGGATGGGCAGCGGCCGTCGCAAGGACAAGAAGGCTCGCAGGCAGGTGCAGCGCTCGGATGACTCGGACAAGTCGCCTTCTTCTTCGGTTTCTCCTTCCGCTCGCTCTTCTCGTCGTGACCGCCGTGGTGACCGTCGGCCCCCGCCGAGCTCTGGCGCCGCCAGCTCCCAGCGCTCTCGCAACGCTGGTCGCAGCACGGCCCGCGGCGAGCCGCCAGGTGGACCGATGTCTCGTGAAGACATGGAGGCGCTGGACTTGTGCCCGACCTTCCCGCTTGACGAGCAGGCCGCGGTCGAGGCTGCACAGGCACAACGTGCAGGCGCTCTACCAGAACATGCCGCTGGCCCCTGGGCCCCTGGGACGCCTGTGGTTGGCCTCCGCACGCCGCTTCAGGAGCCCGCAGGCGCTCCGAGCTGGCCACCTGGCGCCGACCCATGGGCCCTTCATCTCCGCGGTGCCCCTGGTTGTCCAGCTGCTCCTCCTCCTCCTGTGCCTGGCGACGCGGCGGCTGCTGGGGCGGCCTCTGGCGACGCGGCGGCCTCGGCCAGTGCCATCCCTGGCATGTCTGAGGCGCTTGAGCGCTTCAAGACGGACATCATCGCAGAGATGTCTCGCGTTTCCGCCGAGTCCATCGCCAACATGGTTCGCACGGAGCTCCCGCGCACCATTTCGAACGTGGTGCAGCCCTTGGTCGCCCAGGTCGACACGGCGATGCAGGCGAGGTTCAAAGCTCAGGAGCTCCGCATGGTTGAGGTCGAGAAGCGGCTGGGCGTGGCCGAGTCCGCTCACGCTTCGCTCGCCGACCGCTTCTCGAAGTTGGGGCAGGAGCTGGACTTGGCTCGGGCGGCCCCGCGCGAGCCCATTGCGCGGACCGCGGAGTGGCAGCGCGCCACGGATCCTGGCATCTTCGTCATCACCGCGAAGGAGGACGTCGGCAAGAACTTGGTCGCTGATGCGCTGGCTGGTTGGAAGCAGGCCGCCAATTACGAGGCTGGCAAGGACTACGAGCTGGAGGGGGACGAGCTGGGTCGGAGGTTCACTCTCCGCTTCAAGGGCCTTGCGGTCACTTGCGCTTTGCGGGCTCGTCAGGCTCATTCTCTGCTTCGAGACGCTCATGGTGTTTGGCGGCAGTTCTCGGCCCCGATACCTGGTGGCCGCCGAGTCCCGATCTACGTCAGCGTCGACCGTAACAGGTTCGAGATCGCGAGGGAGCGCAACACCAAGAAGCTGCGTGATAAGTTGCAGGACTTCATCGGGAGGCGGGTCTTCATGGACAAGGAGGCGGGCACGCTGTCTGTCGACTGGGAGGTCTTCGCCCGCGTCGTCGTCGACCCGTCCGATCCTCCGAAGGTGCAGTGGAATCTGGGTGCTCTTTCTGATCTTCGTCTGGCGCGCGCTGACTTGGACAGGCTCGCCAATGAGCTCTTCCTGCCCAAGCGCATTGAGTGGAGTGGGTAACACGTTCTGCAACACCGACCAGCTGGTGTTCAATAGCTGGAACTGCCGTGCTCTTCTACATCATCAATCCTCCGTCAAGGCCCGCAAGGCTGACATCGTGCACTCCCTGTTCTCGCCCTCCTCTATTACGGCCCTTCAAGAAGTTCATGGTCCTGCTGCTGCGGTTGAGGAGCTTCTCTCGCGTCTTCGTGGAGGGGTCGCGGTCTTTGGCTCTTCTGGCTGTGGTGGCGTCTGCACTCTCATCCCTGCTCCCCTGATGGTGGACATCCAGGCCACGCCCTTCGAGGTTGTGGTGGGGAGGGTGCTCTGCCTCAAGCTTGTTCACAGGCGCTCTGGCTTTTGCTGGTTCCACTGGAACATTCACAACCACGGTCTGGATGCGGAGGACTTCAACGCCATCTGGCAGGCGCTTCAGCCTCAGCTCGATCAGGTCCGTCACGACCCCATGAAGACCAGTATTCTCATGATTGGCGATTTTAATCTTGCCGACGAGGAGCTTGACTACTCCACTGCAGAGCTCGTCTACGTTCGCGGCCGCCTTCGGCGTCCTGATGCTGGCCCCGCTGACTCTGCCGTGGCGCGTGCGTCTGCGGGTCGCCAGCCCCATGCAGGCCGCTCGCGGTGGGCGAGGATCTTTCGCCATCTCACGGAGCTCGCGGCGCCTGGCCTCAGTCACTTTCATGTTGGCACGCGAACTGGCTCCCGCATTGACAGGTGCTTCGCGGCGACGCCCCCCTGGCTTCTTTGTCAGCTCTGGCAGTGCGCTCGGCGCCGAGGCGAACCGCAGGAGTTCCATGATGCGCAGCTGCCCGACCACGTGCCGCTCGAGATTTCCTGGCAGTCGCGACGCTGGGACTCCAGTGGCGAGCCGCGGTCTCGGAAGATCCCACGGAGCATCTTCAGCGACCCCCTCTACGCGCCGATTCTGGAAGAGTACGAGAGGGCGGCTGGCATTGGCGAGTTCGACACGTTTGCGTGCACTTCTGCTGTGGGCCTCCATCTCTCGGCGCCGGCGGAGCTGGAGCTGGCGACCTGCTGCCGGCAGGCGGCTGCTCGTGCTGTTCGCGATCTGCAGCTGCGTGGCCGCCCCAGGATGCGTGAGAGCCGCTCGTTGCTCCTGCGTTCTCTCGCTCGGGCTGTTTGGCGTCAGGACTCTCGCTTGGGAAACCTTCTTTGGCAAAAGCATCCGTGGCTCCGCTCCTTCCTCTCGGTCGATCCGTCGCCCTCGCCCGTCGCCCTCACCTCCCCCGATGCCTTTGCCCGCGCGCAGTCGGACATGCAGCTCCAAGGGGCCCGGGTCGAATCCGAGCGGCTCCAGCGGGCCGAAGGGGCTTCTAGGGCGTCTGGACGCCGTGCTCGTCTCCGATCCCAAGCGAGAGCCTTGCGACGTCGTGCCCAGATCTGGTCCCCGTTCAATCGAAGGCGGTACTTGGCGGGAGTGGTGGAGGGTGGTTTCGACGGGGGCGCTTCGACCGTTCATGCCTCTGCTGAGGGCCAGACGGCTGCCCTCAGGGCTTACTGGAGCCCGATTTTTGAAAAGCAGCAGGAAGTCCCTCGGTGGGGCCAGCGTTATCTCTCTAGGTTCGCGTCTGAGCAGGACTTCACCCAACTCCCTCCTCCCTCGCTTGCCACGATCCGACGATTTATTCGACGTGTTTCGCACGCTGAGCCTGGCCCTGACGGGCTTGCGTACGCCGCCTGGGGGTTCGGCCAGGGCCCTCGGGTTCTTTTAAACGCGTTCCACTGGCTGGCGAGCGGCCAACGTATGCATCTCGACTTCTATGCCTGCCTGCAGGTTTTCATTCCGAAGGGGGTCCTCGATGGCGACGATGAGCGCTCTGGAGGGGTTGTTCGCCACGGGAAGGACACCCGCCCCATCGGTTTGAAAACCACGAGCAACAAGATCGTTGCTGGGGTCGCCAACTCGGGTCTGTCGGAGGTGGTGAAGGAGCTTGGCGCCCCCGTGCAACGAGGCTTCAATCGTGGCCGCAACTTTTTGTCGAACGTCTACGAGCTCGATGCTCACGCGAGTCTCATTAGCGCACGTGAGCTTCCCGAGGGTGACATTTTGGCGTTCGATTTCGCCCGGGCGTTTCCCTCGGTCAGCCAGCCCTGGCTCATGCTTGCGCTGCGGCAGATAAAGCTTCATCGCGGGTGCTCGCGCGCGATTCAAGGTTTCTATCATCTCAATCCCTGCCTCTTCTGTGTCCGAGGTCCCCTTCTCCCCCTCTTCTTCATGATCTCAGGCGTGTTGCAAGGATGCCCTCTCAGCGGTAGCCTCTTTGTCATCGCGATGGACAGTTTCTTGTGGGACATGTATCGCAGTGTGCAGAGGCCGTGACATTGTCAGATTCGGGCGTGCGCCGACGATATCGGAGCCACTCTCTCATCTCGTAAAGGTTACCGTGAGACCGCGCGAGTCATTCGCAATGCTGAACACCTCGCGGGGCTCGCGCTCAAGGCGGAGAAATGCCGCGTCGTCCCGTTAAGGGCTGCTCTCTCCGATAGTCTCGCGAGCGATTTTCGTCAGCTTCTCCGCGAGTGCACTTGCCCCCGCCCAGGTGCCACCATCCCGCCAAGCTCGGCTTGTTGGGAGGAATTCGAAATCGCGTCCGAGGTTT